TCCTTCTCTCAATCAAAGTAAAAAGGATGAGGGGCTTTTGTTGTGATACCAGTTGAACCTTCTAAGCAGCGCTGTTTGTTAGGAAAGAAAATTACACAACTGGCAGCAATATTACCATTTCATTACTCTAGTGCCATTGCTAGTGACCTTCCTTGCCTTAAATTACACTGTTTCCCTATCATGTGCCAGAAAGCTGGCCAAAGGTTTTTTCTGACATGATTGCCAGCAGACTACAGGGATCAGTGGCATAGATAACTTGGCAATCACTGTATTTCTGCAGTATTAGGTGTGCTTTTTCTTACGTACTGTGTTACTCAGAGGAGTTTTGATTGTGTAGGTAAAAATGGTCATGGCAGTAGTTATTTTTACTGTACTGCATGTTTAGAGAGAAACAGATATTACAGTGCTGCTTCTCCTGAGAGCTTGTGAGAATTAGTTGCTCTTTGGTTGCCTTCTGTTATTGGCAGATAATAATCTCAGAGGAGGCCGTGCCAAATGGAGATGGTATTTCCAAGGTGCGTATCGCACCCTTCCTTCGTGGATCTTGCTGCTCTTCAGAAAGTGCAATGGATCTTTCCACCCGCCTCCTCTCTGATCAAATGTTAGCATCTTCCTTCTGTGAAATTGGGGAAGACAACAGAGGGGATAAATGACTCACCCAGAATTAAGCAGGAGCTTGGTAACAGCAAACACAGATCTCTGTGCATTGGGTTGCCTGGATCCCAGGGACCTTTCAGACAGGGAGGTGCTTTTAAATCCCTCTGTCCCTGGGACGTGGCAAACCAGTTCCTCAGGGCTCTGCATCGCTGCTCCCCTCGTCTCCCAGTGGTGCTGGTGCAGTTCCAGAGTGCTTTTCCTGATGAATTTGAGGATCTGTTAATACCAGCCCCAGCACAGAGGCTTAACTCCTCAGCACAGGTCTGTCCCTTTATGTGTGACAGCATTAACGCCAGGTGACTGTATTTATACAGCTTACTAAATAATTTGATTGATTGAAGCTCTCTGCCTGCTATTGAGGTATCTGAGAATACACAGCAACAGAATAACTTTCATTTATTATCTGCTTAATCAAATCTATTCTAGTTCTATTTTGTAGATCAGTTGTACATGGCTGACATCCATAAAAGAGGTGGCTCATTTGTGATTAGCAGATTGTTTTTCATGTGCATTCCCAATGTGATGGGTCCAAGCCTTAAATTTACAGAAGAAATGACTGTTTAAATCACCTCAACTCATCCCCCCACCCTTGTAGCATCATCTTTGGATTAGCAGTTCTTAATGTCAAACCTTCTTCTTCATGACAGATGTGGCCATTTATTATTCTGCTTTCACACCGGCACAACCTTTTTCATTTCTTGAATTCAAGAACTTCACAAGGGAGGTCAGAACAACCATCTGTTATTTTAAAGATGTGGTGGGGGATGAGTACCTAGTATCAACACAGCAGTTTAGCAGTCAGGAAGAAAGGAGAGGTTTCTTTAAATCAAGGGTAATACCTTGCCTAGAGAGGTGTGTTTCTGTGTCTCTGTTGCTGTAGCTTTTGGAGGAGGTTACCTTTGTGTTACTTCCAAGTATTGCACAAAATAAATCCTAAGGTAAAAGATTTGTATTCTTTTTTATTATTGTTTTTCTCTTTCCAAGTGAAAGTAGTTGGGCAGACACTGAAAATACACTCTGAAGGAACCACATAAACTCACAGGTTGAAATTAGCTCCTTTTTTTTTTAGCCAGTGCAATTTATGTTGAGAAATGAACTAAGCCTCTCCCTCAAAGTCCCAGCTATAGATCAGCCAGCAGCTTGCAGGACTAGCTTGAATCCTGAGAGGTGGCACATTGATCTACAGCTCCAAGAAAGGAAAATCAACAAGATCTTCACCTGATTTATGTCAGCCAGACATCTGTGACTTGCCTTTCAAAGGTGATCTCACAGAGGCTTAATTAAAACTTGATGATGTTACTAAATAATCATGATGATTTGTCTCCCTGTGTTGCAGCCGAGTAGGTGTTTTTGTGTGGTTATAAACATGGTTAGTCCCCGCTTATGAAACTGAAGGTTAGAGAGTGCTGGGCTTAAGGGCAGGAATTTTGCCTGCAGCTCTTATATAGAAGGTCTCCAGATTATTCTAGTGCTGGACCCCTGTTTCGGTTTAGAAGTAGTAAAATTACAAGCTAGTGAAAGAATAAATCCAAGATTTTAATTAGTCAAACTGAACAGCTCTGAACTTGCCCACTCTGCAGAGACAGGCAGTGCTCTGATACTGGTGATGCTGACTTAGGGCTGGAGAGAGCAGGTAAAGACCACAGGTTGTGGCTCGGTTGTACTCTGGTCTGGAAACTAGTGATAACACAGTATTGCCTTTTCCTTCATCCTCATCTCGCCTGTTTTAAGGAGAAAGAAAATACTGGGGCAAGGGTTGTCTTTTATTAGAGACTTAAACACAAAACATAGATGTGACCTGAGCTGCAGCCTGTAGGTATGTTACAGCGTAAACTCTACCCGTGCGCTTCACTAAGGGTTTTGATGTTATTTTCTTGTATTTGGGATAATTGTATTGTTTTGGGTCGAATTTTGGAGACATACAAGATGATACCTTTGAAGTAGAAGATGGGGTAATTTTCTTTTCTCTACTGTCTGGATGCTGGTGGGAATTTTAAGGAAGCTGTTGATCACTTGGTCTTGATTTTTTCTTCGGATTTGTTTTTGCTTTAAGACATTAATCCCACTTTCTAACAGGCCTAACTTTTCTTCAGTATATCAATAACAGTGATTTCTACTCTATCATTTTCAGACTGAAAAGCCATAAATCACAGTATGTGGCCTACTTACAAAAGAAAATAAAAGGGGGGGAGTCAGAGGCACCTCCGATTCTGCATGCAGAACAGTCAATGTAGTCGATACAGTTTGGGGCTGATTTTCATAAGGAGCATGAGTTAGAATTGATGATCACGTTTCTGAGAATCCCTAGCCTTGCCATTAATTTTGATTTATTGGTTTTTATGAGCAGGAGCAGTGAGAAGCTCAGGCTCTGAGGAGGATGAGAAAGGCCAGTGCGTGTCGAGGGTTATTGCCTTGTTGCGTGCTGTGATTTATACAGCGAAGGTACTGGCTGCATTCTTATGCTTGGTGTTATTTTATTTCTTCTCATTATAATAGAATTTCATGACTTAAAGACAAGTGCCCTCTGAGAATCTGTTCTGTTGTGTCTCTGACATTATTACAGGCTGAAGGTTCGATTATTGGGAGTGCTGAGCCCTTACAGCTCCAGTGGAATTGACAGGAGCTGAAGGTGCTCTGAAAATCATGCCTGAGACATTTTATTCTTTTGAAGGGATTGAGTTGTGCCTCATAAATACAGGTCTTTGCTGTGACTAATTCCTCCTTCACTGCACACCTTTTGAAGTAAATGGAGTTTACTTGATTAGAATTAAACCTGTGCTCCAGAATCAGCTCTCATCCTCGCTACGTAGCTGAGGAACTGATTAGATCTTAGTAAATCTGATGTTAAAATTAAGCTTCAAATTTACAATTAAGCTTCAGAGTTTTGCTTTGTAATTGGAATACTTCATGTTGTGAAGGAGCAGAAACCCTTGTGCTTTGAGGATTCAGGTGATTCTAAGCACAACTCGTTCCTATGGCAGAGCTACTGGTGAACAGAGGTAACTAAACATGCTGGAAGGGCGGTTTTGTGGCTACAAGAGGTACCAAGACCAAGTGTCTGCAGCTGATGGAGTTAGCCTGCGTGAGCCATTCACATTCTCCTGCAGAGAGTCTTAATTCTCCAGTTCCACTGAGAGAAAGCAAATGTCAGGCAGTGATCCAGCCTCAGGAAAAGGGTGATTTATCCCAGTGCTCGATGATTCCACTGTTCTTGAAGAGGAGGAAGCTTGCCCAAGCAGTGGCTGTTTGATCCTGAAATAAGGGAAGATGCTGCTGTATAAGCATGTGGTTGACTGCTGGAAAAGTCCAGAGGAGCACTCATGCAGAGGTGAAAGCTGAAGAGATTTGGGGACTGGGTATATGAAGAAAGGCTTAGTCAACTTGCCTTTTTTGTTAGATTTTAAGAGCATAAATACGCACCCTACTGAGGTGGCCCTGCACATCATGGCTGGGCTTAAGGATCCTTTTCAGCCCTTGACTGAAGCCTGTTCTGATCCAGGTTGCTCAGATGTGCATTGCTTCAACCCTTAGCTTTTGAGAATCCATTCTTGGCTCAAGGAGGTTCACAGCAGTCTCTCCAAACTGTACTTTGCCTTTTGGTGAGGATCATCATAGTAATCTTTCATTTTTCCTTTGTTAAAGCCAGTATTGGATTAAAAAAGGGTAGTTTGGGTTTACTGGGGGTTTTCGGAGGGGGTGGGGGTGTCCTTCTGTCTCAGATGAAGGGCAGATGACGGAAGATCCATTTCTTTTGTTTCCAGTTATTTTCAAAGAACAGATCTAATCGGTTACATTCTGGTCTATCCATTTGTCTAAATTTCTCTGGTTACCTCTGTGGTACATCCATGTACAATGTGGTTGATCATCTGCAGTGTCAGCAGAGCTTCACATTTCAGTATGTACATAGATCTAATACTGGTGTGTGACTGATGGCGTTTGGGGTTTGGTTCTCAGCAGGCAATGTGGTGCATGCTGCTAGCAGCGGAATGAGAGCTGTCGTTTTGATTGGGAGACTTGTGCTTCTTCCCCTTGTCTCTCTGTCCCAACCTGAACAGCAAAACATGGCACAAACAGAATACCCATTGGCAGAATATTCAGCAAAGAGGCAGTTGCTTCCTCTTACTCTTGCTGTTGGTCTCCGTCAGATAGGCTCAATACTGTGTTTCATTGTCTTTAAGGCTGTAGACCAAGGCTGGTTTGCTTATTGAGGTGTTTCGACATCCTTTGCTGCTAGACCTGGGGTTCCTCTCAGTGTTTTCAGAATGTTGTGGCTATTTAAGTTCATTTTTGGAGCTCCTGCCTGTACATGTTTTATTCCACCGCCCTTGTTTTTCTGTTTCTAGCCAGTGAGACCTGCAACGATTTCCATCCCATGTTCTTCACCCATGACAGATCGTTCGAGGAGTTCTTCTGTATCTGCATTCAGCTCTTGAACAAGACATGGAAGGAAATGAGGGCCACTTCAGAGGACTTTAACAAGGCAAGAGGAAGGGTGGGGTGGGAATAACTGGGCAGGATGGTGGACAAGGACGTGTGTTCTTCCCTAAAGGCACAGGGATTTACTAATCCCCACTCTGCCGAATGCTGGGGAGTTTTACCTGTTTGGATTCTTTGCACATCAGAGCACCAGCATTTAGAAAGACGGGATAAGGGATGAGAGGTGTGAGGGAGGTTCCTGGATCTTTTTCAGTCGTGTTGCACTGCACTCTGTGAAACTGAAACCCTGGCTTGAGGGGAAATTCTGCTTTTTTGTATGTTGGCAATATCCTGCTGAATTGCTGCAGCCTCCACCGTTGTAAATAATGCAGAGAGAGTACTGCAGTGATAATTCTGTGCATCCCTTTCATTTCGTGTGAGCACTAAAGTGATAAAATATTCAAGAGTGGACACAAGCCTGGCAAAGTGCTGTGCAGATTAGCCTGCTAAAACGAAGCCAACCAGACAAAACTCCAAGCAGAAACTCCTCAGTATTGCACCCTTTTTGTTGTAAGAGAGAATTCTGGAAGCTTCAGCCGATCTCCTGACCCTCAGCAAAGCAGTTTCTTTGGCATTTTGTAAGGATGACAAACTCAGGCTCTCGTGGACAGCTGGCATCCTTCTCTTTGTGGGCATCCTTTGATTGCATCTTGACAACATCTGTCTCTGGGATATGCTGATTGTGGAGCTGCTGGTTGGAAATGACAAGTGAGGCTGCTTCACTGTGTCAGTATGTGCCCTGTGAGCACTCTGAAGCCACCAGACACAAATGTTATGTGGGTGCTAGTAAGAGTGATCATGCCTAACTTCTAATTGGAAGAGTCTGTTACTGAAGTGGTCTAAATGTCCATTTTCTACTGCTGAGTGAAGGTAAATCCTTAGGACACCTTTGTTGAGTCCTTTTAGGTAAGGCAGTTGGCAGCAGTGCAAGAGCTCTGGCAAAAGAGAGATGAGAAGACTAAAATGCATGCTGTTGTAGCTAGGTGACCTGGAGGCTTGTTCCTGCATGGAATTTCTGACATGCTTCTCTTACCTAATGCTCCAGGAGCACAAGAAGGAGCAATAGCAAGATAATTCACTGAACAATATAGAAACCAGAAATCAAGAGCTTAAAAAAGCAACAGCTCTTTTAATACTTCATAATATGTGGTTGTTTTAAATAAATGTACTAACAGCTGCCTATTACTTAGAGACCTTCTGTCTCAGTGGAAGAAGGATTTGTGTACATAATTTCCCACAATTTGAGTTGGAATATTATTAGTAATCCTAGGGAATTCATGAAAAGAATGAACCCAGGATCTCTGCCTCCAAAAATCACTCTTGATATTGTAGCTGGTTTCCTGAAGGGGAGGGAACGCGAAACTCTTGCAACTCATTTCTAACAGTTCTGTAATTACTTTCTGCTTACCTAAATCCTCTCTTTTAGTCATAAGGAGATTTTTGTGCTCTTACCCACTTCAAATGACATGTGGTGGTGATGTGCATTACTCAGCTGATAAATGTCTAACAGGATCTGTGAGTGAAGCACTTCTGGATTTGTGGGGGATGATGTTGTATGGTGGTACCCAAGGTTTGCCCATCTGGTTAGTGGGTGACAGCTGCCAGTGCTGGTGGCTTTTCCAAAGTAAACACCACCGTTTTTAATCCTTACCTGGCAAGGGGCTTTGGCCATCATGGCAGGTCTCTATTCTTTGTGCACCTTTCCTCTGTGCCAAGGGTCACTGTTGAAGACTTGGCAGGCACAGGCCATGTGGACCCAGAGGGCGTTCAGCCCATACTTTCAGGAGTGAACAGGAAGAAAGCAGAAGATGCACTGCGAGGTGCAGTGGCTTAGTTGATGCTCTGGTTTAATACCTCCCTGGCTGATGGGATCATTCACTTTCTTTCTTTTTCTCTTCCTCGCCCAAAATCTCCAGAACAAATTTGGACACTGTCAGTGTATTGGGTGGTAACCTTTGAGACCTAGAGTTGCTTTTAAAAAGCTAATCCATTTGCTTTGATCTTTCATCATAATTGAAGAAAAGGAGCTCTTTAATTTGTTAATTTTAAGCTTCTGATTAATCACAGTAGCTTGTATGTTGAGGGGCTGTTGGAGGGCTGTGTGCACGTAAAGAGATGTCTTTCTTCCCCTCTCGCATGGGAGAATAATGGGTGCTAAAAGAAGTGAGGTGATTGAATACTTCAGGTATCACCCTTCAGGTTTCAGTGCCTATTCTCAATGGGGTTTTAAGGCACAGATTAAGACTTTCTTTTGATGACACAATGGCCTACTGTGCCTTTGTAGTTCCTCAGTTCATGTTGTGGAGATGTTATATAGGGATTTTTTCATTTTTAAAGCTTAAAAAAAGATAATAATTAAAATAGCACTTTGCTTATAGTTGGAAGAATTTTACAGCATTTTAGTGAAGCAGTTATGGTCTCGTGCTTTTAGTCTCTCCAATTCTCATTTAGTAAAAGAGACACCTTTTGTTAACTTTTGCATTAGAAAAACTCCTTGGATCTCTATGGTGATAGCATGATACTGTCAGACCCAAAGCCTTTTTTACAGTCTCTCAATATACTGGTAGAGGTCTGAATAGAATAATTCAGTCAGGCAGCTAAGCTTGTATTATGCCTTTATAACATTTTAAGACATACATAATTCAGTCTGGTGAGTTTTCTAGAGAAATGAAGATGCAGCTGGTTAGACAGATATGCAAGTGGCAACAATTCCATTTGAAGCTCTTTGTTTTCCTTTGAGCCCACAGATGATCAAAAGACACTTTACAAGCTCTGTCCTCTGCAGTCATTTGTGAGCAGACAACATAGTTTATGGCTTCAAAAATATAATCTTCTCTCCAAGCTTTACATAATTCTACATGTTTTATTGCAGCAGAGAAAGGATTGTGTATTGATTTTTGGAGGCAGTGCTGCCTGTAAGAAAGCTGGGCTGAGTTATCTTGCACTCCAGCACCTAGAAACCTTCATCACCAGCCTGCCTGTTTAATTAGGTGCCCATCAGTCAGTTTCCCTCATGTAGGAACCACCTACACTCTGCTCATGGTAATCAGGCCCTGCTGCCATGCAGACTAAGATGTACTTAAATTGGTTGGTGTTTTTGTTTAACATGATAGTAGGTGGAATTCAAGGTAATGGTGCCATTGTAAAATTCCAAAGCATACTCCCAATGGAATTTTTTGTGTTGATACCCACTAGTTGTACTTAGGTAAATGCACTTGTGTTGCCCTAATGAGGATCTACATTGAGATGACTATCCACCTTGTTAGTGATCTTCTTGTAAAATACACATCCTGTTTTTCCTGAGACAGGGAGACCACAGACAGGGCATTATGTAGGACAAGATTATCCTCTTACCTCTGGTCTCCAGAGATTTCAGTCTGCTGCTTTTTGTAGGTTTGAAGTTCATATGCTAATAGGAGGAAGGGTGAGCACATGTATTATTTTAGCTGCAGGCCCAGCCACAGCTTGTCTTGTTAGACCTGCAGAACAACATGAACCAGTTGCTAATACTGTGCCTAGCGTAGTGCTGTCTTACAAACCCATTAAGAGTAAAAATTACTGCTTCCAGTCCCCGGATGGAAGGAAAAAGATGAAGTTGATTCACCTTCCAAGGTTTTGAGGCTGCTTTGTAGAGCATGGGCACAATGATGATAGCTGCTTTCATTAGTGTGTTAGCATAGTTATAGGGTTTTAGATAGCCAAAAGTGACTACTGATAACAAGACACAGATTATCCTTTTAACGTGGCTAAAGTTAAGAAGGGAATGCCAAGACTGAAAAACTTCAAAAGTCCTGTGGTGTGCGTGGTGCTTGAAATCAAAATCTTCTGCATCCCCTGAAACTAGAGGTTTAAGGAATAGGAAAGTGGGATGAGGTTGGCTAATGATGCTACGGATGCATCTTCCTTATTACTGAGAACTCTAGGTAATTTATTTTGCCCTCTGGCTATGTGTTTGAGATCATCACGGTATAAACCACCAGCTTTTAAAGAGTTCTATGAACATTTATTCTGTGATCAGAAGAATATTCTCAGAAGAGCCCAAAACCTCTGGTTTCAGCATTTTGGCAAAGCCAGCATTCGTTTCACAGTGGGACACCTGAGTACCTTGAGCAAATGCATTTGTGCCTGGCTATTTCAGTAGCACAGGATGCTGCAGCACTGGATCCCCGTGCAGGAGTGGCATCTGCTCAGCGAGATGGTAATATATGCCACTGACAGGTATACACATAACAAACTGCTTTGTGTGGTAATCAGCAGAGTAGACATTGTTCACAGTGGCAGCAGATGCAAACAATAAATGCCCTACGTGAGTCCTGTAATTAAACACCAAAGCAAACACTGAGGCATTTGATAAGCACAAAAGATGTTTATTGCTCATGCTCAGACCCTGTGAAGGTTTTTTCTTGCTCGCTGACAAGATAACAAAAAAGGTAACCAAGCATAACATAACAATGAAAAATACCATTTCCTTGCTCGCTGGCGGTGTGGAAATGCCGTGCCACAGGTGCCTCAGCTGCTCCAGCATCGTCACGCTGTCGGGAGCTGTAGGCTGGATAACTGTGGAAAGCTGGGTTCAAAATATGACTAAGTGTTCAAGGGCAGGCTTTGAAGGACCCTACTTGTTCCAGTGGTGTTTTGTGTGGAAGTGTGTTGTGGGTCAGCACCACCGTCAGATAACGTGAGGTACCCATAAGGAAGCGAAAGTGTGGAGTGTCATTTGGAAAGGGTCAGAGGAGCAATGGGACAGAGGAGCTGACACCAGCTTTTCTGGGTTATAAAATCCCAGACTGGTTTGGGTTGGAAGTGACCTTAAAGCTCATCCAGTTACATCCACCTCCCACTAGAGCAGGTTGCTCCAAGCCCCTGTGTCCAACCTGGCCTTGAACACTGCCAGGGATGGGGCAGCCACAGCTTCTCTGGGCACCCTGTGCCAGCGCCTCAGCACCCTCCCAGGGAAGAACGTCTTTCCTAATATCTGATGTCAAACTACCCTCTGTCACTTAA